TACCATTTTGGTTGTTGACAGATCAATAATTTGGTTTTAGACAGATCAATAATTTGGTTTTAGACAGATCAATAATTTAGCTGTTACAAATCTTCCCAAATTAACTTTTTCTTGGGTTTTAAAATGAGAGAGGTGGTTACTATTTTGGTGGTGGCGGTTACTGTTTTTGGGGGTGGGGAGTTGAGACAGGATCTGTATCCCAGGCTGACCTGGAATTCACTATTTAACTCAGGCTAGCCTCAAACTTGTGATCATCCCATCTCAGCAGGAATAATCCAGTAGTTCACTTATAAACCTTTGCACATCAACAAAATCCAAATGGTTGAGCTGTTACAAGAAATTGTCAGCACATCTTGAACTAGCTAGTGTGACATTTCCCTGCACCAAAAACAGTTACACTGGTTTTTTTTTTTTTTGAGAGCTTAAATTCAGAAGAGAATTATAAATTCTCATTTTAAGTCATATTCTTTTTGACATATCTATTGTCAAATAGATATGTGAATTGTTAAAAAGTCTCAGGTCTGGCAGTGAGCAAAAAGCTCATTACTGAAGGAAAACATGGGAACTTTGAGTGCTCCATACAATGAATTTGGGAAAATGATAGAAACACCTGTCTTGTAAGTTACTCAGTAGTTTGTGCTACCCTACAGAGGGCCATAAGAGGAAATTAATTTGGAGCTCTGAAGCCTACTTTAAGCATGGAATTCTATATACCTGGATAATCCAGTACAACTTTCAGACAAAAGCCAAAGATCAAATTTGGGGCTGGAAGGAATGTCTAATAGGTTAGTTCTATCTTCCTCTCTAGTTCTTACTAAAAGTATGTTCAACAGCTGGGTGCGGTGGCTCAAGTCTGTAATCCTACCTACTTTGGAGACAAAAGATCAGGAGGACGGAGGTTTGAGGGCAGCCAGGACAAAATGTTAGTGAGACCTCATCTCAACAAATGGCTGGGCATGGTGTTGTGCTCCTGTTGTTCCAGCTATGCATGGAAGCACAAATAGGATTGCCACCAGAGCATGGAGACCCTGTCTCAAAAGAACCAAAACAGAAAGGGTTGATGGAGTGGCTCCAGTGGGAGAGCACCTGTCGAGTAAGTGTGAGGCCCTAAGTTCAACACCAAAAAAAGTAAAAGTATACTTAACAAAATCCCACATTTGAACAATTAAAAAATACAGAAAGTAAGATGGTGGGAGCTAATCACAGGAGTGTAAAACATTAACTACAGAAACCAAATAGCTCAGAAACAAGCTTCTTCATGCTGAAGACGAATGTTGTGAAAAATCACACCACCTCTCTCTGTCTAAAGAGTCCCAAGGAGTCAGCCATCAAGCGGCCTCACAGCAGCAACTGCTTGGCACTGAGAGAGTGACCTCCATTCAGTCTACTTGGATAGCCAATCTTACATGCTGCCATGGACAACAAAGAACTTTGGTAAGACAGACCACCCAACTACCTTAGTAACTTTTGAAGAAGTTGTAAAATTCCCAAATAGCAGAACTAGAGGGAATAGATGTTTTCATAGTTACTGAAGAGTAGTTACTCTTAAGTCATTTATGAGAGAGGCAGCATTGAACCACTTTCAAATTAGGAATCTAAGGCACACAGGTTTGTAGAATTTGTCCTAAAGCACAAAGCAACTCATCTGTAAGGGGTAAGCTAAGGAGGAAGTTGAAATTCTGGTAGAGTATCAGATGAACAACAGACTCAACAAATTACCAGTTTGGCCTCAATGTCTCTGGATTTGGCCTCTAGCCAAGCTAACCAAGTCAGTGTCAGCACAAACAGAAACAGTTCCTAACCTCCAGTCCTCGGTTTCACTCAGCAGATAACCAGGAGACCATCAATAAACTGGTTTTATTCCCAACTTTTTAAAGTTGAAAAATGGAAAAGCCTATGGGTCAGCCTTAAGAAAGTTACGCTTTTATTTATAAATGAGTAACATAATTCTGCACCTGGTATAGTTACCTGCTTAGTAGCATCCAAAGGCTTAACTAGATTACTTCATAATGGAGGATGAATCACAAGAGTCTAGGATCCTCCTCTGATAAATTCTTGACAGAACCACGAGGGTAATTTCTAAAACCATGACTATTTGACTTCTACCAAGCTAGTAGTGTCAGCTATTCCTAACTCCTTTTTAGTATTTTTGTGTATGTATGGAGCCAGTGATTGAACCCAGGGTTTTGCCCATGCTAGGCAACCTATTCTTCCACTGAGCCACATTCTCAAGTCTTTTTTGTTTGGTAGTACTGAGGTTTGAACTCAGGGTCTCACACTTGCTAGGGATGTGCTTTTATCACTTGAGCCAAGTCCCCAATCCTGTTGGTGGTGGTGGTGAGAATGGGGTTTTTGAACTCAGGGCTTTGTCCCTGCAAAGCAGGCACTCTACCACTTGAGCCACACCTCCAACCCATTTTGCTATGATCATTTTGGAGAGAGAGGTCTCACAAATTATTTGCCTAGGCTGGCCTCAAACCCTCTATTCTCCCAATCTCAGCCTCCCAAGCAGCTAAGATTGCAGGCGTGAGCCATCAGTGTCTGCTATTTTGTTTTTTTTTTTTGAGACAGGGTCTTGCTAGGCCTAGCCTGGCTTTGAACCTGTGATCCTCCTGCCTCAGCCTTCGGTGATGGCATTACAGGTGCAGGCCACAGGTCAGGTTATCTTCTCTAGATCAGTGTAAACATACCAAAAATCTAACTACAGGATGAATTCTGTGCACTGAAGCCTCAGTACACTTAGAAATAAGTGGTTCAAATTTTGGATTAAGAACCCTAGTCAGGGCTGGGTGTGGTGGCATACACGAGATACCATTACTTTGGAGGTTGAGGCAGAATTGAGAGGTTTTTTTTTTTTTTTTTTTCTCTCTGATCAATAGTGATCCTTTTTACAATCCAGTTGTAAAAAAAAGCTCTGATCTCTGAGAACAGAGCTTTAACTCATTGGAAGAGATGGAGATGCCACTCACACAACTTAAAGAAAAATGATTAATATGAGGGGCAGCACTTCAGATTTGAAGACACTTGCATGGGTGTTGCTATTTAGGTCAAAGGCTCAGAAATTTGAACATCTGTAATTGGTAATGAGATTCACAAGGTACTATCCCACAAGGATAAAGTGTCACAGCTCAGTCACCCTACTACCTATGCCTACCTAGGCATAATTTTAACTAACATTTTAGCCATAAAACTATCATATAGCGATATCCTTGAGGCACAAAATCTCTCTTGATTTAGATTTCAAGCAGTAGGAGCAAGCTGGTTTAATCTGCAATTCAATGACAGTACTTCATATCAAACTTCAACCTTTAAAAAGCTGGCACACCTATAATTTCAGGTTGAGTTTATTCTTTTAAAGCAGGTCTTCCCCACATCCTATACCCCACATATACAAGGTAGACCAAACTGTTTATCTACTTCGGTAGCTTTCAGATCTACAGAAGGGATTGTCCGGTAACACGCAAAATACTCCCCCATTTGTTTTCGTTTGTGAAACAAAGATTACATTGGAATTAGTTTTCTCCTATAGAAGGACAGCCATTTCTCCCAAAGTTTTTGGTAAAAGATACGGCTCGGATTTCAAAATGCAAACAGATGTTTCTGAAGTATCCTAAGTGGGCCACTCTAACTTCTATTTTCCTGGGTTGGGGCGTCTCTGAATTTTGTGTTCCAACCCTGCAGAGGGCAGAACCCCATCCCTTCAGTGTAATTTCCAAAAGAAGTGGGAAAGCACACTTTAGGAGTTTCCAAAAGTGGCCGGCGACGTACGGAGGTCAAGTCGTTCCGGGAATCAGGACTGGATGGGAGAAATCTTGAGGGCAAGAGCGCTCAGATAGCTCCAAGCACTGAGCTCGAGGTTTCCACGTGCCCCGATCTACTTGTCCCAAAGGAATCGGTGGTTGCTACGGTAGTTAGAGAAGGCTGCTTCTTTTCGCAGCCCGAGTGGTGGAATGGCCTTGCTGTTGGGGGGCGGGGGAAAGGGAAAGTGGGTGCACCAGGCTCTCTGCCCATCGAGCCTTCAGCAGACTCTACCATGCTTGGGGGGGGCGAAGCATGAGGCAAGAGCTGCGACCTCCGCCCTTCCCCATGGCGCCAGTGTCGGGAACCTGGCGTCGCCCCAACCTCGTCCGTCCGTTAGACTGGGGGGTCCCACTACGCTGGGCCTGGCCGCCATACCCAGGACGAACGGGGGTGGGGAAAGAAGGCCTTGGCAGAGTTCGCCCTCGGGATCCGCGCCCCGTGGAAATACAGCAGAGGGGAGCCGTCTCAGTGGTCTCTCCCCTGCTGGGGTCTCGGGAAACACATGGTAATTACCCAAGAACCCCGCCCTCCGTGAGAGGCGAGGCTGCGGGGCTGCCGGGAGGGTTTGAGGACCGGGCTTGGCCAGGGAGACTCCACCTTCACCCTCCCCGGCCCCCCCCCCCCCGGCCACACTCCCCGCCGTCTCTCGGCGCCGCCACTTCAGGCAGCCCACTCGGCCCGGCCTCTCCCCGCTCCCGGACCACCCCCCATGGGGTGCTCTCACTGCGCAGCGAGTCCCTCCGCTGCCTCCTCCCAGCCCAAAATGGCGGCGGCGGCCACCGATCTTCTCGTCGCCTTCCTCAGGGGCTCGGGATCCCTCCGCGCATATGCCCCGCCCCTATCAGCCGGATCTAATTTTCCCCTGTAAAGATTAACGCCGTCAATGAACTCTTTAATTGAGCTTGGAAAGCTTCCGCACAGCTAATCGTTAGCATTGAAAATATTGGCAGATAATTGGACCAATCAAAGAAGCGATGAGCGCGGAACGCCCGCGCAAGGGCAGATGGGCTTTAGAGTTCCAGGGTGTGGTTGTTGATTTGCAGGACCTTGAACCGCCTTCCCAGTCTGGAAAAACTACAATCCCCAGCAGGCATTGCGCTGCCAGGCTGTACCCCACCCCCACCCCCACCCCAACCTTAGTGTCGGAGCGGCTTGGCCAAAGCTGCTGCAACTGCAGCAAGGGGTTAGGACTAAGGCGTTGGGAATTGTACAGTCGGTCGCACAGAAAGACACACAGAGACACAGAGGTAGTGGTGTGCATACCCCTTGACAGCAAATAGGTCAGTTTCACCTTTGCAAAACCTCCCTTCCATGACTATTTCCTCTTTTCCAGGGAATCTGTTTTATCCCAGTTGGGTTTTCCTCCCAGCTGCATGTAGTGCGAACACTTCTCTTTTTTCTCTGTTTCCCTTCCTGAGAGAAAAGAAGGAGACAGGCTGGCCCTGTAGACTAAATGGCCTTAGCCCTGGGTCTTCCCAGGTCCCAGCCATGCTTCCAGAGGTTTTGCCTTCTGGAACCCAGCCTGGGGAGGAGGTTGGGGGCGGGGCTGCAGTCAAGACTGGGATGTCCCTGAGCTTGCTCCATGTTGTCTTGTGAGAGCCACAGACTCACCCCCATTCCCAGTTTCCCCAGGCGGTCCCCTTTTTCCCTTTGATTATGGGCAAACAAAGCCTACCCTGCCAGGCCGGGCTTCAGTGACTTCTAAGAGGAGAGTATAGGTCATAAACCCTGGTGTGGGATTTGAGGAACAGGGTTAGTAACATGGCCTTCGATCCCATTTGGTCCCTTCCTAGCCAGAGGAGTGAAAATCAGGGTATACAGGCAGCCTTCAGGGCCTTCATTTGAAAATAGAGTGTGCAGGTCTGGGGCTACAAAATGGCTGCCATTGCCGGGGCAAATAATTCCTAGGCAGCCAGATTTTTCCTGAGACTTCTCCTTCTGTTGTTCAAAGCAGGTGTCACTAGTTAAAGGCATCTGTGGAAAGATTGGGAGAAGATGGCCACTCTGAACAAGACCAACTATAATAAAGAGTCACTAGCAGCCCTGGAGGAGGCCAAGGTAAGTGCTGGCCCTCCCAGCCACCTGAACATGGGACCTGCCAGCTGGGATCCTAGCTTCTTGTCTCAGGTGTATTTGGAAAGCCAGTATTTTAAATGAGTCTGTATTATGCTCTAGACAGTAGGCCAGATGCTAAATCGGGGTTATCTCATGAATTCCTAATAGCCCTGCAGAGTAGGAAGCTAAGGTTCTGAGAGCTGAATTTTTCCCAGAATCATGCTATCTACAAGCAACAGATCCAGGGTTAATTAAATCAGGGCCTTCTGACAGTAGAACCTTATTTTGAACTCAAGGACAAATAACTTGAATATCTGCATTTTGTCCAGACTGAGAACCAAGTCTGAAGCAAGAAAAAAAGAGTTTTTGGTTCAAAATTTAGGATGGAGGTGTTGGGGGCAGGGTGTAGGAAATACCCCAAGAGAGAGACAGATAGCAGGTTCTCAGAGAATGCCAACTTCTGGACTGGCAACAGAAGCCCAACCCCTCCCAGCTCATGCCATCTCATACCCATGGTCTCCTCATCCACGATTTCCTATGGATCAGTGAGCTGGGGGTTAGAGAATTTTTTTTTCTTGCTATACTAGGAATTGAGCTGCAAGCTTTGCACATGTTAAGCAAGTGCTTTACCACTGAGTTACACCCCCAGCTCCTGTTTTTTTGAAACAGGGTCTTACCATGTAGCTCAGGCTGGCCTTGAACTGATCCTGTTTCCTCTACCTCCCAAGTGCTGGGATTATAGGTATATACCACCATGCCTGGCTCAGAAAAGCTGTTGACTCACCCTATCTAGCCACTTCCAGTTTTTCTTGGATTTATTTAATTTGGGGATCATGGCATGTCAGGGCTAGAAGGCTCAGGGAAGGCAAATAACTCACCCAGGTCATACAGCTTATTTTCAATAGTGATAATGATGGCAGAGGGACAAGTCTTCAGGAGAGAGTCAGCATGTAGAGCTGGGGAGGGGTCACTAAGGGACATGCTGAGGGCTGGGAGTAGGTGAATGATTGGGCATACATAAACAAGCCATGCTGCCTTCCAGTGGCCATGTTTCTCCTATGTGGGGAAGCAGCTGTCTTAGTTAGCCCAAGCCACTGGTGGAGACAAGGCCTGTTGTTCATGATTGGTGATCTTCCTGCAGGTGAAGTAACACAATCCACAACACACACACACACACAGGTTCATACTTTTCACACTTCCACATAACTCCTTTTCCCTGAAGTTTTCCTCAGGGTCTCCAGCTCTTACAGGACTGCAAACACCAAGTTTCTCAAAATACCCTATGTTTGTATGGATCCATGCTCAAATGCCATGTTGCATTTTATAAAACAACATGCTGATGGTAGTGGTTATTATTAGAGATATCCCAAACCACAAACTTAGAGCAATTCATTCCCCATCCCCCATACTCAGTACTCCCTTCCTCACCACAGCAGAGATAAACAGATGCCCTGAGCACACTCTTCTTGACAGACCCTTTCTACCTCTTGTAAGTTCCGGAACTTTCATTGCAGAGTAGAGTTGATCCTTCCTCTTTCTGGTTACAACTTCTTTCTGCCACTTACATAGAAAAGTGATACAGCTTTTGTCAGGGATAAACACACTCTGTCTTTTGTGCCCTAGAAAGATAAAAAAGTCTCTTTTTCCCATATCTTTTGGATTCTCCTATCTTAATAAGGTTTAGGTCATTTAACAAATATTTATTGAGCACTTCCCCTGTGCATGCATAGTGGTAGTGATTGAACAGATTAGACACATGCTCAGAGAAAGGCAGATGGTAAATGGTACTGTGCTGTGTGGGATGTTACCTGTGTTACATGTTAGAGTCACTGGGAAGGGGAAGTGGGAAGGCTGCTTTAGATGTGGTGGTCAGGGACAGCCTGACATTGGAACTGAGCACTAAAGGATAAGGAAGAGCCAGGCGCTAGCGGCACATGCCTGTAATCCTAGATACTCAGAAGGTAGAGCTCAGGAGGATTGCAGTACAAAGCCACCCTGGGAAAATAGTTCAAAAGACGATATCTTGAAAATATCCAGCACAAAAAAAGGTCTAGCAGAGTGGCTCAAGTGGTAGAATGCCTAGTGAGCGTGAAGTCCTGATTTCAAACCCCAGTACCAGCCAGGAGCCAGTGGCTCACACCTGTAATCCTAGCTACTCAGGAGGCAGAGATCAGGAGGACCGAGGTTCAAAGCCAGCTTGGACAAACAGTTCGTGAGGCCCTATGTCAAAAAAACCCATCACATAAAAAGGGCTGGTAGGGTGGCTCAAGGTGTAGACCCCCAAGACCCCAGTACCACAAAAAAAAAAAAAAAAAAAAAAGGATAAGGAAGAGCAGCCATGTAAACAGTTAGAAGTAGGATTAGCTGCATAATTTGTGGGGCCCTTGTTCAGAAGTTACTGAGTTTGGGCTGGAGGTATGGCTCAAGTGTAGAAAGTCTACATAGCAAGCATGAGGCTCTGAATTCAAATCCCATTACCTCCAAAACTAAAAATGTTATTGAGCTCAGAGCAAGGCATGATGGTGAGTTCCTGTGATCATAGTTACTTGGGAGGTAGAGGCAGGAGGATCATGACTTCGAGGTCAGCCTGGCCTCAAGCCACCATCGCAAAATAAATAAGTAAATAAATAAATAATAAAATAGTTCAAGGCAGGGATAGCAGAGCATTGAGCCAAAAGTGGGGCCTTTCTGAATGAGGGCTTCTGTGCAAGTGCACAGGTTGCTCATCCATGAAACCCTGCTCTGTCTGAGAGATGCTTTTCAGGAAGAGGGAAAAGCAAATGCCATTTGGGCTTGTGATCAAGCAAATGCATCAGAAGCTATCGTCCATCCTGCTTTTCCTTCATTGGCTTCAGGCTGGGTGGACAGGGGAGGATTCCACCCCCCTAGAGATAGGCTATCTCTGATCCATCTTCTCTCTCCTCTCTCTAGAACTCTGGTACTCTGGGGAGCCCCCAAACACCCCCTGAGCCTCATGACTGTGGCAGTACCTTGCCTCTGATACCTCAAAAGGAGAGCCACTCAGACAGTGAAGATCTTGCCCCAGCTGGCAGTGACCAGGGCTGCAACAGAGTGGGTGCCCGGGTCCAGAGTGCAGAGGGCTGCTCAGGTGAGGCTGTGCTAGGCCGGAAGAAACACCGTAGGCGGCCATCAAAGCGTAAGCGGCACTGGCGTCCCTATTTGGAGCTGAGCTGGGCAGAGAAGCAGCTGCGGGATGAGAGGCAGAGCCAGAGGGCCTCCCGGGTTCGAGAGGAGATGTTTGCCAAAGGCCAGCCTGTGGCACCTTACAACACCACCCAGTTCCTAATGAATGACCGAGACCCTGAGGAGCCCAACCTCAATATACCTCATGGCATGTCCTACCCAGACTCCAGTGGGGAGAGTGAGGGAGGGGACAGTGACCGGCAGGGCCAAGACCATGGGGAGTTCCAACAGAGGGACTTCTCTGAGGCCTATGAGCGCTACCACACTGAGAGTCTGCAGGGCCGCAGCAAGCAAGAGCTGGTTCGAGACTACTTGGATCTGGAGAGGCGTCTTTCACAGGCGGAGGAGGAGACTCGGAGGCTGCAGCAGCTTCAGGGGCCTACACGCCAGCAGCCCTGTCACCAGGTGGAAGAGCTGATTGCCGAGGTAGAGAGGCTTCGAACTGAGAACCAGCGGCTTCGGCAGGAGAACGAGATGTGGAACCGAGAAGGCAGCCGCTGTGTTGGGGAGCCTGGCACCTAGGGGGGCTCCCAGTTGGGAGGACCCAAGGACTAGGCCTCATTTCATATCCATTCAGGCCATCTGGGTTCTCAAGGAGGCAGGTGGCAGATGAAAATCACTCTCAGTTCCCTGAGAACAGCTGAGACAGGTCACTTCCACAATTGGCTCTTTGACGTCATTTTACTTTTTTTTTTTTTTTTTTTGTTATTCATCTTTTTGCAAAGAAATTAAATGGTTTTGGTGAAACCCAGTGGGAGTGGCTAGGATTGATTTCATGGGCCCTTCTGTGAATCAGGACCCTTTCATTCCAGAAAGATCCCAGTGCTGCCTTACTGTAAGCACGTGAGGACAACAAACCTATAGTGGGGTGCTCTCAGGGTGTCCAGAATGCCTGGGTTTTTCCTCTGCGTGTTCTGCAGCAATTACCCTGAGGGCTTTACAGGTGTGGGGGTAGCTCAGCCAGGCACCCTCAGGTTCAGTGAGAACTTAATGTTCAAGATGCCAGATGGCAGCCAGTTATGTTAGCACTCACTTATTAATCCCAGCACCAGTACTGGGGAGGCTGAGGAGGAAGATCTTTTTTTTTTTTCTTCTTTTTTCTCTTTTGGTGGCACCGGGGCTTGAACTCAGGGCCTCACACTTGCTAGGCAAGCACTCTACCACTTGAGCCACTCTGCCAGCCCAAGGAGGAAGATCTTGAGTGTACAGCCAGGCTGGGCTATGTATCAAGTTCCAAGTTAGCCGAGGTTAAATAGACCCTTTTTTCTCAAAAAAATAAAAATGTGACAAGCCACTGTTGAGGAGGTAGCAGCCTCCCCTAGAGTTGGAGAGTACCTAGGCATTTAAGAAGGCCCAAGCCTGGGTTTCCTTCAGCACTCCCAGCCTCCCATTGTTCTCCCCACAGTTTTGAGGGCTGGGCAGTCTTGTGCTTGACAGCCCCTTACCTCCAGGAAGGACACAGAAGTAAGAAAGGAAGGATTCCTCCCATGGCAAATAAAGCCAAGAGGCAGAAGGGGCAGCACATGGTCCTTAACAGAGCTGCCCCATGAGACTTTCCTAGTGTGTCCTGCTTGGTCTAATCATGGGTGTGGTCAGTGCTCTGAGGTGTGAGCCCTCGCCTAGCTGTGCACAAGATTGCTGCAAATTCTCTTCAGTGAGTCCATCAGAGCATTGGACTCTGAAATGAGCTCACATCGCCTTGCACTCAGACCTGCCCCTTGTGTCCTTGCTGTAAGATGCCTGGTGTTAGGATGACAACCAGGATAACTTCAGTGGAGGCAGGAAGTTAGCTCACCAGTGAGCCCTTGTTGTCTCTGCCACGGGGCACAGGGAGGAGCAGAGACCTGGCCAGCCTGGCCTGGCTTCCCTTCCAGGCACTCACTGGGACACCACATTGGGCAAGAGAAGGGCTCAGGCCTGGGAGCTGCTGGGGATGGAAATGTTGACGAAGCCCGTGTATTGCCAGGACAACTTTTATTTCTGCACTGCCACACCCAGGCCTGGCCAGCACCTTCTACAACAAAGCAAGCTGAGAACAGATTCTAGAAAGGGTATGTTGCAGTGGAAAGCAAAGTTCCATGCTGGAGGGTCTGTCCCTGGAGTCCTGGCCAAGGGCTTTCACCTCCTTACCTTTGATCTCTAGACAACTGTCAGGAAGGGGAGCAGAAATGATTGTTCCCATTCTGCAGATGGGAAACACAAGAGAGGAAGTAGCTTACCAGATTCCAGAAAACTGACCAGAGCTGCCTTCCTCTGTGGGGTGCTAGCCTGGGACCTACAGCCTGCAATCTCTCAGCTGCTGCATTACTCCGATGGAGCCTGTAGCTGAGGGAGTTGGAGAGCCAGGACCCAGGTTATTTACCCTTCTAGGGGCCAGGCTATGTGTGTGTAACTAACTAGGAGGGGAGAGAAGATTCCAGAGGGCTGCTGGAGGAGGGGAGTGGGCCCAGCTGGAGAGGGTGGGGGAGGTGTTGGGGGAGGTGGGCCAGCTGGTGGGTGGGTCTGTGAGAGGGCATGAACTGCATGCTGGGGTGCGTGTGGAGTTTGACCCTTCTTGGAAAAGATGCTGAGGAGTCTAGAGAGTTAAAGCTGCCAACTCCCCCCACTTTCCCCCACATACACATACAAACACATAAAATGGCTGAAGGGCTCTTAACCAGAGCAACACAAAGGTGAATTAATTTTCCCAAGCTTGGAGGGGAGACAGGGTGGGGCAAGAAGAAAACAGAAGAGGGTGTAAACTGGGGGAGCGTCAGGCAGGAATGAAGGAGAAGTTTCAGTGAAAGGGGTCCAGCCAGCCTGGGTCCCCAGCTGGTCCCCGCACAACCTTTGGGTGACAACCCCAGAGTGAGGAGTTTGGGAGGAGATCATTTTGGGAGCTCAGTACTGGGGAGAGGCGGGGGCAGGCCTAAGTCCCTTTCATGTTCTTCCTTTTTCCCCTAGTTCCCTCTCTGGCTACCAGGTCCTGAGGACTGGACTTCTCTACCAACTGTCCCCCATCTCCAATCACTGACAGTCAAGTTTACAACAGACAATTCCACCCTCACCCTCTCCTCTGGGGAGGGCTGACTTGGGAGAGAACTTACTGGACCTTCTTGGTCATCTGGGCCAGAGGAGGGAGGCCCAGAAAACAATTCCTTCATAGGAGTGATTGCTGAAGCTTTCCCCCATGCCTGGCTGGCTGATCTAGAATCCCCCTTTCTTCCTTATCAGGGACTCCCTGACCCCAGGTGTTGCTACTCCTGTGCCCAGAGACAAACCCTGCCGGTAATGGGGTCAGTGGACAGGGATCATGGGGTAGGTCAGGAGGAAGCTGCCAGGAAGTGGGGAAGTAACTCAGTAAGGGGGAAAGGTAGCCAGGTCCCATTGCCCCTGTTGGGAGCAGCAAGGCTGACACTGGCCCTTTAAGTGGGGGTGCCAGGCAATGCCCTCCCCCAGCCAACCCAATTCATGGGCACACTGAGCATGTGCAGGAGCTGTGCAAGTGAGAAGGGGAGGAGGTGGGGGCATAGATTCCGGAGGGAGCTTCCCACCTCCTGCTTCCTGTAGCTGCCCCCACTCCTCTTCCTGGGTCTGACAAAGGAGCCCATGGTGTGTCCCCTAACCCCTTCCCCCACCCCAAACCCAGAGGGCACTGCCCGTTGGGAACGCTGAGCCACCAAGGGTGCTGGACTGGCCCCCTGGCCCTGGGAAGCCTCCCTAGTGCCTGAAGGCGGTACACATTCAGCCAGTGTCAGCCTTGCTTCCCTGGTGTGGGCGGTGGCCAATCTTCCTGCTGCTTAACGTGTTCGATTTCATTCCATTGATGCCAGAATTTTTAAGAGAACCTTATGATGCTGTTCTGAAAATGAAACACAGTGGAAAGGGTGAGGTCCCTGCCCCCACCCACTAGGAGCTTCACTAGAAGAGGAAGCAAAGAGCACTGGCCCAGCTTCCTTCTTCTGGATCCCCTCCCTTCTCTAGAGCCCAGTGCAGGGTCTTGGGGATCAAAGCTGGCTTTCTGGACCCGCAGTCTCCTTCCCAGTGGTGGGGGTAGGGGACATCTTCTCCCCCAAACCCACCCCCACCTCCAATTTACCTGTTTCTGTAGCATCCTCAGCCTCTCAGGGGCATGTCCCCTACGTCCTTAAACAATAAGTACTTGCCCCCTCTTCTTCCTCTAATCCCTGAGCCTTGGTACCATTCATTATCTTTTTCAAAAAGATAATGTGAATGGGAAATTCACATAACGTGAAATTTACCCTTCAAAAGAGCAATTCCGTGGTATTAGTGCATTGACGATGTATGCACCCCACTGCTATCTAGTTCCAAACCATGAGTTCAAAAGGAACCCCTGAACTCATAAGGCAATTATTCCCCATTTCTCCACCCCCTCCTTTTCCCCAGCCCTGACAACCATCCACCAGCTTTCTGTGCCTCTGGGCTTACCCAGCCCGGATTTTTTCTGGAATATGTCCAGCTACAAGGCTCAGTGCCTATAGCCAAAGCACAGTCTCCCTGAAGATGCCTGTTGTGGAGGGAACACTGGTTTAGGAGTCCTGGCACCTACGATGCACCTCAGTTCTGCTCCCACTCAGAGTCCCCTTTCCTTATTTGGTCAAAGGGAGTTGGGGGCTTCAGGCTAGTTTGAGATCTTGGGCCCTCCTAGGCAAGGCTACATCGCCTTGGCTTGAGAAAATACGCCCCCACCTTTACCTTCCTGGTTCCTCCCTGCAGGTCCAGGCAGTGAAGGTGGCCCCAGGGGACAGTGTGATTCATACTGTAAGGTTTGGGGTCAGACACTTGAGATGAGGAAGGTAGCTCAGAGAGGTTGAGAAACTTGCCCAAGGCCACACAACTCTTGCTGCGCTGGGATTGTAGCCGGTTTTGTCTGGTTGTAGTCTGAGCTCTTGACCACTGTACTTTCTGGGTCTTCAAAGAGATGAAGTAAGTTAAGGGCTTCACTAAATGCTAGCTGTGTGGGAGGTGCTCTGGGATGGAAGCAGCCATAAATTTTACTACTTTCTGGGCACTGCATAATCATGAATAGCTCCATTCCAAGGTGGTTCTTGGGAGTTTATCTCACTCCCTTCTTCCCTTCCCTTTTAGAGAGTGTTTCCTCTTGCCCTTTCTACTGGCTTCTGCAGGAAGACAGTTTTTGTGTGGCTGGGAGGGGATGCTTTGATCCAGAGGCCTGCAGGCAGGTGGGGATGGGAAGCACAGCCCTCACCAAAGCAGGAGAAAATGTTATGTTCTTCACTCATTTCTCCATGGCTAAACATCCCCTTCCCCCCAAACAGAAAGTCCTTTGTAGACCCAGAGAACACAGGGGATTGGAAAGGCTTGTCCCTGGCAAGGGGACAAGCAGAACAGGTGGCCCCCCCAATTGGCCACTCTGTCCCAGCTGCCTGTGAGCATGAACGTTCCAGAGACCACCTGCCTGAGAGTCCCTCTCTGGACCCTATCCAAGAGGGGACACCCCAACCCAGCCTTCAAGGTACCTGTTGTCTCCTACTTCAAGCAACCAGGATGGGCCCCCTTTTCTGTTCTTTCTTTATCTCAGTGGCTCTCAGAGGAAGTTCCCAAAGAGATTAAGTTGTAAAGAGGACATTGAGGCCCCATGGGCCTCCAGAGCCACCTCTGCCACAGCCCCTATTCCACAGAAGGAAAGGA